TATTGTCCAGTACTGTCTACTCAATACAAGAAGAAAAGATTGAAATAAATAACACTAAGGGTAGGAAGGGGAAAGGCAGGGCTGCGAACGCCATGCAGCTACCTTGCTATCTCCGTAAATACTCAGAAGCTGCTGAAAACTGTCACTCAGGATATGCACACAAGGTGCAGGGAGGAACATGAGTACGCCAACTCAGTAAGTAACCAAAGTAAATAAAGTCTGAGTGCAGTGACGAGCATTTAAATCATATACATAATCTAACATAAAATCTGAATGGAAATATCAAGTCAAATCCGTAGTTCAATTTCCAAACAACTCGTAAAATCATCAGTTTCAATGAAAGTTATCTAAAATATTTGTTCAACACATTTTCAATAGAGGTTTAGTTTAAAGGAGAGTGAAAACAGTAAATTTCATAAACAAGCCCCTCGGGCTAAGCATCGCTCATATATGTATACAGCCCCTCGGGCAGCCTCTCAGTCACTCGTGACTACACTCTCGTCAATTAGAACTCTCACTCAGCACTTCCGCTCAATAAATATCTCATTATAGTAACCGCTGCGGCAGACATCCCGATCCGTAATATATAGTTGATTGCACTCACTGGGGGTGTGCAGACTCCGGAGGGGCTCCTACAGCCCAAGCGCTATATCGCTGCGGCGTGCAGCCCGATCCAATACATATCGCTGCGGCGTGCAGCCCGATCCATATACATATAAATATTGTTGCGGTATGCAGCCCGATCCATAAATATATATATAACTCTCACCATCCGGCCCTCGGCCTCTCTCAGTCATCAACCTCACAGCCACTCGGGCATTTCAGTGAAAATTAGGGAAACTCAGCCCAAACAACTTTCATATATTTAAAACAGAGTAATGAAACTGAATCAAAAGTAAGCAGGTAAAAATCATGACTGAGAATATGCTTTCGAATAAAAACAGTGTGAGGAAAGTAGTAAAATACCCATGAGGGTTCAAACAGTTCGGCATAAGGCCCCAAACATGGCATTCAGCCCAATTAGCAGGTTCATTTCTAAAGCACATAACTATCATATAGAGTTTATAAAAATAAGCAACTCTACAGTTACTACAGGACGGACCAAGTCACAATCCCTACCGGTGCACGCCTACACGCCCGTCAGCTAGCATATGCGTTACCTCATTTATCAAAACAGTACAAAATTCCGGGGTTTCATGCCCTCAGGTCTAGATTTACAATCGTTACTTACCTCAAATCGGATGAAATTCTACTCCGCGATGCCCTTGCCTCTCGACTCGACCTCAACTCGCCCTGAATCTATCTAAAATCAGAATCATAACATCAAAATAGGCTAAAGGAACAAAGCCCACGCGAAAATAATCAAATTAAATCAACAAATCCCGAAATTGGTCAAACCCGACCCTCGGGCCCACGTCTCGGAATTCGATAAAAGTTATCACTAAAATCCTTATCCTCCCACGAGTCTATACATATAAAGATGATCAAAATCGGACCTCAAATGGCCCCTCAAATCCCCAATTTAAACTCTCCAATTCCAAGCCCTAATTCTCCAATTTTAACCCTTAACTTTCACTAATTTCACGTCTAATCAGTTAGAAATCACCATAGAATCAAGTATTGAGTTCAAAATCATACCTCCAAGCGTTACCCCTCGAATCCCTCTTCAAAACCTCTCAAAAAGCTCCAACCCCGTCTAAAAAATGGTGGAAACGGGAAAAAATTCGCGAAGGGAAGCATATATACTTTTTGACCCAGGGATTCCACACCTGCGGCCCTTTTCTCGCTTCCGTGGTACCGCTTCTGTGGTCTACCCAACCGCATATGTGGTTTTCACTTATTTCCCTTCGACCGCACCTGCGCCCGCCTGCACGCACCTGCGGTCACGCAGGTGCGTAACATCTTCCCCACCTGCGGCTTCTGGCCTTCTCGCTTGTGGCCGCACCTGCGGCTGTTTCATCGCTCCTGCGGATGTCGCACCTGCGGTTCCCACTCCGCAGGTGCGATTATGACAGAAACAGCAGCTGAAGCTGCTCAATAACCAAAACCAAGTACCGACAACCTTCCGAAATCACCCCGAGGCCTCCGGGACCTCAACCAAAAATACGAACAAGTCACATATCACTATTCAAACTTTTATCAACCTTCGGGAACACTCAAAACAACATCGAAACATCAAAACACCCTCGGATTCAAGCATAAGGATTCAAAAACTTCTGAATTCCGCAAACGATTAAAAATCCTATCAAACCTCATCCGAAAGATCTGAAATTTTGCACACACGTCACAAATGACACAACGGACCTACTCCAATTTCCGAAATTCCATTTCGACCCCGATACCAAAATTTCCACTACCAACCGGAAAATGCCAAAATTCCAATTTCGCCAATTCAAGCCTAAATCTACCACGGACCTCCAAAATACATTCCGATCACGCTCCTAAGTCCTAAATCACCTAACGAAGCTATGAGAATCATAAAAACCAAGTTCCGAGATCATTTACTCACAAGTCAACTTCCAGTTGACTTTTTTGACTAAATGGCCAACTTAAGAGACTAAGTGTCTCATATCACTCCAAAACTACTCTAAACCCGAACCAACCAACACGATATGATGAAATCTAGCTGAACAACACATAAAGAAGCAGAAATGGGGAAAACGGGGTTGTAACTCATGAAACGACCGGCCGGGTCGTTACATCCTCCCCCTCTTAAACAAATATTCGTCCTCGAATGAGTCAAGAAACATACCTGAAGCCTCAAATAGGTGACGATATCTGCTCTACATCTCCCGCTCGGTCTCCCAGGTAGCCTCCTCCACGGGCCGACCTCTCCACTGCACTTTCACTGAAGCTATATCCTTTGATCTCAACTTTCGAACCTGACGCCCCAAAGTAGCCACTGGCTCCACATCATAAGTCAAATCACCATCTAACTGAACCGTGCGGAAATCCAAAACATGAGACGGATCGCCAATATACTTCCGGAGCATAGAAACATGAAATACTGGATGCACGCTCGACAAGCTAGGTGGCAAAGCCAGCTCATAAGCCACCTCCCCAATCCTTTGAAGTACCTCAAAAGGCCCAATGAACCGGGGACTCAATTTACCCTTCTTCCCAAATCTCATAAAACCCTTCATGGGTAAGACATTTAGTTGAACCTTCTCTCCTGCCATGTAAGACACATCACGAACCTTCCTGTCAGCAAAACTTTTCTGTCTCGATTGCGCTGTACGAAGCCACTCCTGAATCACTTTCACCTTGTCCAAGGCATCCTGCATCAAGTCTGTACCCAAAAGCCTAGCCTCGCCCGGCTCAAACCAACCAGCTGGAGATCTACATCGTCTCCCATATAAAGCCTCATATGGAGCCATCTGAATACTCGACTGATAGCTGTTATTATATGCAAACTCCGCGAGCAGTAGAAACTGATCCCATGAACCTCCAAAATCAATGACACAAGCACACAACATGTCCTCCAATATCTGAATAGTGCGCTCGGATTGCCCATCTGTCTGAGGGTTAAAAGCTGTGCTCAACTCAACCTGAGTACCCAACTCTCGCTGTACGACTCTCCAAAACTGCAAAGTAAACTGAGTACCTCTGTCTGAAATGATGGAAACTAGAATACCATGCAGGCGAACAATCTCTCGGATGTATATCTCGGCTAACCGCTCTGAAGAATAGGTAGTACACACAGGAATGAAGTACGCGGACTTGGTCAGCCGATCCACAGTCACCCAAATAGCATCGAACTTCTTCAAAGTCTGTGGGAGCCCAACTACAAAGTCCATGGTGATTCGCTCCCACTTCCACTCTGGAATATCTAACCGCTGAAGCAAGCCACCCGGTCTCTGATGCTCATATTTTACCTGCTGACAATTGAGACACCGAGCTACAAATCCCACAATATGTTTCTTCATTCTCCTCCACCAGTAATGCTGTCTCAAATCCTGATACATCTTCACGGCACCTGGATGGATGGAATACCGCGAGCTGTGGGCCTCCTCCAGAATCAACTCCCGAAGCCCATCCACATTGGGCACACATATCGGGCCCTGCATCCTCAATACTCCATCATCACCAATAGTCACATCTCTGGCATCGCCATGCTGAACCCTGCCCTTGAGGATAAGTAAATGAGGATCATCATACTGGCGCTCTCTGATGCGATCAAACAAGGAAGACCGAGAAATCACACAAGCTAAGACCCGACAGGGCTCCGAAATATCCAACCTCACGAACCGATTAGCCAAGGCCTGAACATCAACCACAAGAGGTCTCTCCCCAACAGGAATATATGCCAAAATGCCCATTCTCACCGCCTTCCTACTCAAAGCATCGGCCACTACATTGGCCTTCCCTGGATGGTACAAGATAGTGATATCGTAGTCCTTTAGCAGCTCCAACCATCTCCGCTGCCTCAAATTGAGATCCTTCTGCTTAAACAAATGCTAGATGCTACGATGATAAGTAAACACCTCACAAGACACACCATACATATAATGCCTCCAAATCTTCAATGCGTGAACAATGGCGGCCAACTCTAGATTATGAACGGGGTAGTTCTTCTCATGGGGCTTCAACTGACGAGAAGCATAAGCAATCACTCTACCCTCCTGCATCAACACACACCCAATAACAACTCTCGAAGCATCACAATACATTGTATATGAACCTGAAGCTAAAGGCAAAACCAATACTGGAGCTGTGGTCAAGGCAGTCTTGAGCTTCTGAAAGCTCGCCTCACACTCATTCGACCACCTGAATAGAGCACCCTTTTGAGTCAACTTGGTCAAGGGCAATGCAATAGATGAAAATCCCTGAACGAACCGACGGTAGTAACCCGCCAAACAAAGAAAGCTGCGAATCTCTGTGGCTGAGGACGGTCTGGGCCAACTTTGAACCGCCTCTATCTTCTTCGGATCAACCTGAATACCCTCATTGGACACCACGTGCCCTAATAAAGCCACTGAACTGAGCCAAAACTCACACTTGGAGAACTTTGCATAAAGCTTCTCCTTCCTCAACCGCTGCAATACCACTCTCAAATGCTCCGTGTGCTCCTCCTGACTACGCGAGTAAACCAGAATATCATCAATGAACACAATCATAAACGAGTCGAGATAGGGCTGAAACACGATGTTCATCAAATGCATGAACACTATTGGGGCATTGGTCAACCCAAAAGACATCACAAGGAACTCATAATGACCATATCGGGTCCTGAAAGCCGTCTTAAGAATATCCGAGTCCTTGATCTTCAACTGGTGATACCCTGACCGGAGATCAATCTTGGAGAACACCCTCGCTCCCTGAAGCTGGTCAAATAAATCATCAATACGAGGCAAAAGATACTTGTTCTTGATTGGAACTTTGTTCAACTGCCTGTAATCAATGCACATCCTCATCGTGCCATCCTTCTTCTTCACAAACAGAACCGGTGCACCCTAGGGCGATACACTAGGCCGAATAAACCCCTTATCAAGGAGTTCCTGAAGTTGCTCCTTCAACTCCTTCAACTCCGTCGGTGTCATACGATACAGTTGAATAGAAATGGCCTGCGTGCCCGGCACCAGGTCAATACCAAAATCAATATCTCTGTCTGGTGGAATGCCCGATAGGTCTACAGGAAACACATCGAGAAAATCTCTCACTACTGGAACAGAATCAATACTAGGAGTCTCTACACTGGCTTCCCTCACAAAGGCTAAATATGATAGACAACCTTTCCCAACCATTCACTGGGCCTTCAAAAACGAAATCACCCTACTGGGGACAAAATCAGTCAAACCTCGCCACTCAATCCGTGGCACACCCGGCATGGACAGCGTCACTGTCTTAGCATGACAGTCCAATATAGCCCGACATGGAGATAGCCAATCCATGCCTCATATCACATCAAAGTCCACCATACACAACAACAAAAGGTCCACTCAGGTCTCTAGACCCCCAATAGTCACCACACACGACCGATATACCCGGTCCACAATAATAGTATCGCCCACCGGAGTAGATACATGAACAGATGAAACAAGAGACTCACGGGGCGTATCCATATAACGAGAAAAATATGAGGACACATATGAAAAGGTGGAACCAGGATCAAATAACACAGAGGTATCTCTGTGGCAAACTAAGACAATACCTGTAATCACCATATCCAAAGCAATGGCGTCTGGTATGGCTGGGAGGGCTTAGAAACGGGCCTGACCGTTACCTGATTGGTCTCCCCCTAGCTGACTGACCCCCACCCCTAGCTGCCTGGGCGGGTGGTGAAGTAACTGGAGCTAAAGTCGAGGGCTGACTCCTCTACTGAGATGGACCCTCAAGAAGACGAGGACACTGCCTCCTCATATGTCCAAACTCTCCACACTCGTAACAACTCCCTGGCGTGAGAAATGGGGACTGAAGGGAACCCCTAGCACCGGAATGACCAGTAGAAGGACCTAGCATGGAAGATCCCTGAACTGATGGAGCACGGGACGAACTCTGGGCTGGTAGGGCACTAAGTGATGAATGACCCTGATGAGAACTATGAGAACCATGGCCCGATGATGCCCCATGATGAACTGGGCGGGCTGACTGAGCATGTCTGAATGGACGGCCTCTGCCGTGCTGAAACTGACCTCTCGAAGGAACACCACCAAAACTACCAGATCCCCAAGGCCTCTTGGCCTCCCTTTCATCTCGCTCCTGGCAACGAACTGACTCAATCTCGCGGGAAATATCAACAACCTCCTCAAAAGTAGCACTTGACACCCTCTCTCTGGTCATGAGAATCCGAAGCTGATATGTGAGGCCATCAATGAACCTCCTGATCCTCTCTCTATCCGTAGGAACCAACCAAATAGCATGACGAGCTAACTCCGAGAACCTCATCTCATACTGCATCACAGTCATATCACCCTGACGCAACTGCTCGAACTGCTTGCGTAGCTCTTCCCTGCGGGACTGTGGCACATACTTCTCCAAAAAGAGAGCGGAGAACTGCTGCCAGGTAAGGGGCGCTGCACCAATAGGACTACGCTCTCTCATAAGCCTCCCACCAAGTGAAGGAAGCTCTAGAAAACTGAAAAGTAGTAAATGCTAACCCGCCGGTCTCCACAATACCCGCAGTACAAAGAATTCTGTGACACTTGTCCAAGAAACCCTGGGCATCCTCGCCCTCTGCACCACTAAAAGTCTGACGTTGTAGTCTACCAAAACTTTCCAATCGACGCTGCTCGTCCTCAGGTATAACTGGTACTACAAAACCCTGAGCAGGTGCAACCGGCTGGGCTGGTGGTGCCTCCGGTGTCTGCAATCCTTGAACAACCTGCTCGGGTGTGCGGGCAGCGGGAGTTTGAGTGCGTCACCCGGCCTGAGAAGTGGCTGCTGTAGTAGAAACTGCGACCGCCTGAGCAAGGCTAGTGCACATGGTCAAGATCTGAGCGAAGGTCTCCTAAAGACCCGGAATAACAATAGGCACATCGGGTGCCTGAGTTGGCCCCGCTGGAGCATCCCCCACTGGAATCTGATCAAGAACTGGGGCAGCTGGTGGATTTGCAGGTGCTGCCCCTCTGCTGTACGGGCTACACCTCTGCACCTACCACGGCCTCGACCGCGACCTCGGCCTCTAGTGGCCCCAATTGGTGGTCGTTCGTCCTAACTGGAAGCATGTGTCCTCACAATCTATGAGAGACTAGAATAACAGAAGTTTAGTACTAGAATCAACAGATTCGCACGACAGGAATTTCAAGAATGTGAAGTTTTCCTAAAGGTTCTACAGCCTCCCGAGGATAAGTATAGACGTCTCCGTACCGATCCGCGAGACTCTACTAAACCGGCTTATGACCCGTGAGACCTATGTAACCTAGGCTCTGATACCAACATATCATGACCCCAAACCACCCCGGTCGTGATGGCGCCTATCATAGTACTAGGCAAGCCGTTTTAACATAGATAACTAAAAGGTCTTTTGCAAATTCATTTTTCCAAATCAGTTATAAACACAAGTCTTTCATTTAATATAACAAAATACGCGGAAGAAGGAACAAAATACGCAAAATACATCCACACTACCTGATCCTGGCATCACTAGTCATGAGCCACTAAGATACTGTCCAGTACTGTCTACTCAATACAAGAAGAAAAGACTGAAATAAATAACACTAAGGGTAGGAAAGAGAAGGGCAGGGCTGCGAACGCCATGCGGCTACCTTGCTATCTCCGTAAATACTCAGAAGCTGCTGAAAGCTCTCACTCTGAAGCTGTGGCACCTGGATCTACACACAAGGTGCAGGGAGTAACGTGAGTACGCCAACTCAGTGAGTAACAAAAGTAAATAAAGTGTGAGTGCAATGACGAGCATTTAAATCATATACATAATCTAACATAAAATCTCAATGGAAATATCAAGTCAAATTCATAGTTCAATTTCCAAACAACTCGTAAAAACTTCAGTTTCAATGAAAGTTATTTAAAACATTTGTTCAACACATTTTCAATAGAGGCTCAGTATAAAGGAGAGTGAAAACAGATAAACAAGCCCCTCGGGCTAAGCATCGCTCATATATGTATACGGCCCCTCGGGCAGCCTCTCAGTCACTCGTGACTCAACTCTCGTCAATCAGAACTGTCACACAGTACTCCCGCTCAATAGATATCTCATAATAGTAACCGCTGCGACATGCAGCCCGATCCATAATACATAGTCGACTGCGCTCACTGGGGGTGTGCAGACTACGGAGGGGCTCCTACAACCCAAGCGCTATATCGCTGCGGCGTGTAGCCCGATCCAATACATATCGCTATGGCGTGCAGCCCGATCCAAATACATATAAATATTGTTGCGGCATGTAGACGGATCCATAAATATATATATAACCCTCATCATCCGGCCCTCTGCCTCTCTTAGTCATCAACCTCACAGCCACTCTGGCATTTCAGTGAAAATCAGGGAAACTCAGCCCACACAACTTTCATATATTTAAAATAGAGTAATGAAACTGAATCAAAAGTAAGCAGGTAAATATCATGACTGAGAATATGCTTTCGAATCAAAACAGTATGAGGAAAGTAGTAAAATACCCATGAGGGTTCAAACAGTTCGGCACAAGGCCCCAAACATGGCATTCAGCCCAAAGAGCAGGTTCATTTCTAAAGCACATAACTATCATATAGAGATTATCAAAATAAGTAACTCTACAGTTACTACGGGACGGACCAAGTCACAATCCCTACCGGTGCACGCCCACACGCCTGTCACCTAGGATGTGCGTCACCTCATTTATCAAAACATTACGAAATTCCGGGGTTTCATACCCTCAGGTCTAGATTTACAATCGTTACTTATCTCAAACCGGATGAAATTCTACTCCGCGATGCCCCTGCCTCTCGACTCGGCCTCAACTCGCCCCGAATCTATCCAAAATCAGAATCATAACTTCAAAATAGGCTAAAGGAACAAAGCCCACGCAAAAATAATCAAATTACATCAACAAATCCCGAAATTGGTCAAACCCGACCCCCGGGCCCATGTCTCGAAATTCGATAAAAATCACATCACTAGACTCCTTATCCACCCACGAGTCTATACATATCAAGATCATCAAAATTGGATCTCAAATGGCCCCTCAAATCCCCAATATAAACTCTCCAATTCCAAGCCCTAATTCTCCCATTTTAACCCTTAAATTCCACTAATTTCATGTCTAATCAGTCAGAAATCACCATAAAATCGAGTATTGAGTTCAAAAATCTTACCTCCAAGCGTTACCCTTCGAATCCCTCTTCAAAACCTCTCAAAAAGCTCCAAGACTGTCTCAAAAATGGTGGAAATGAGCAAAAATTCGCGAAGGGAAGCTCATATACTTTTTGACCCATGGATTCCGCACCTGCGGTCCTTTTCTCGCTTCTGCGGTACCGCTTTTGCGGTCTACCCAATCCATCCGCGGTTTTCACTTATTTCCCTTCGACCGCACCTGCGCCCGCCTACACGCACCTGCGTGACCCGCATGTGCGCAACATCTACCGCACCTGCCGGTTCTGGCCTTCTCGTTTGTTGCCGCATCTGTGGCTGTTTCATCACTCCTACAGACGTCACACCTGCGGTTCCCACTCCGCAGGTGCGGTTATGACACAAACAGCAACTGAAGCTTCTCAATAACCAAAACCAAATTCCGACAACCTTCCGAAATCACCCCGAGGCCTCCGGGACCTCAACCAAAAATACGAACAAGTCACATATCACTATTCAGACTTATACCAACCTTCGGAACACTCAAAACAACATCGAAACATCAAAACACCCTTGGATGCAAGCCTAAGGATTCCAAAACTTCCGAATTCCGCAAACGATCAAAAAGCCTATCAAACCTCATCTGAATGACCTGAAATTTTGCACACACGTCACAAATGACAC